CACACAGACAATCCCGTGACAATATGTTTTTGTGCTGCTGTCACACAGCGCAAAACGCATAATAAAATAGCGGCGCTCACCAGAGTAGGGTAGCTGGCCCGATCGAGCGTTTTTATGCGATTTTGTGCAGCTGACGCTTGTGCAAATCTATCCGGAGGAGCCTTGTTGTTAAAACTATCCACTGAATTGCTGTTTAATATGTGCAGAAATTTTCATGTTTCCGAGTTATTAATTTTGACTCGAAAAGTTTGACTTCTCCGTACGTGAGAAGTACGCATGCGTAGGAACTAATTTGCATGCAGGTAGGGAGCATTATTCTTAAATTCAACTTTCCGAGTCAATAGTTTTTGCGACAAAACTTTCTTACACCAAAAAAACCAAGGCGCGTGAAGGTCGATTTTAAAATTACGAGATCAGGGAACATTCCCTTAAAATTTCAGTCTCTTAGCTTTTGTGGTTCTCGAGCTATTAATTTTTGTGCCACAAATTTCACATGTCCTGACATGAGTTCTAGGCACGCGGGAGGAGGGTGACAAAATTTGAGGTTGCGGGTTCATGCGCAGGCAGGGGCATTTTCCTAAAATTTCAAATTTCTAGCTTTTCAAGTTCTCAAGGCAACAGTTTTTGCTCCAAAACTTCACGTTCCCGTATGTGAGACCGATGTGTGCGTAAAGGCTGACTTTACACTTATAAGGTCGTGCGCAGGCGGGGAACATTACCTTAACCTTCTAGCTTCTCTGGTCCCCGAGTTGTTAATTTTGGTGCTAAAACTTCCACTTATCCGTACATGAAATCTAGGCGTGCGCGGAAATGAATCCACACAGGTAGGGCACATCTTCCGAAAATTTCAGTTTCCTAACTTTTGTGCTTTCCGATTTATAAATTTAGGCGCCAAAAATTTCGCGTGACCATACTTGAAACCTAGGCGCACGCGGACGCTGAATTTGAGTTTGCAAGATTATACGCGGGTAAAGGGACGCCTCCTCAAATTTCAATTTCTAGCTTTTCTGGACCCGGAGTTGAAACTCCCGAAGAATAAAATGCATTCGGAACACACACAGACACAGGTACACACGCGTGCATGCACACAGACGCGTATACAAACAGGCACTGGGCAGTATGCGTCTTGCGCAGCAGTTGCTCAAAACTTAAGCAACTGCTGCGCAAGACGCATACTGCCCAGTGCGCAAGACGCAAAAGTAGAATTTTTTAAACTTAAGTTTAAAAAATTCTACTTTTGAGAAATAACAAAAAAATTTCATTTTTACGCATTTTTATGCGTTTTCTGCTGTGTAACAGCGTTACAAAACGCATATTGTCACGGGGTTGTCTGTGT